GATTTCACTGCTAAAGGGGTTAATGTTTGTTAAAAGGAAAAGGTTTGTTGCTATTCTTAGAAAGGGCACAAAAACAAAATAAAATTGGTTCTACTCTATTCAGCATCTCTGTTACTTTCTTTCAAATCAGCTCAGTTACTTGTTTTCCAATGGATCAGCAAATGATCCAAATAGGGGAGAAATAAGGAGGGATTTGGAAAATAATTTGGAAACTTCCCTTCTGCGGAACAGTTCATGGCGGGCTGGCTTGCACGCACAAATACACCCCGTGGCCCCAGGCAGGAAAACTAGACAGCCTTGCTATCAATGAAAGCTGCAAGGTACTCAGGCGAACTTTGGAACTGAGGCTTGACATTAAACTCAGAGCACTTCTAGTGCTCCCTGCGGCAGACCGAAACCACAGCAAATAGAGGATTTAAACCACCGATCTGGCCTAGGAAAGCTCTGCACCAGTTCAAATTTGCTTGGAAGAATTTGCTGGGTTATGCTTGCGCCTGCAGAATTTGTGCCGGGTTATATCGCGTCTGTCTCCGCTGCTGTTCTGAGAGTTCATCAATACCTAACGCGGCTCCTCCCGGAGCTTTTCCATGGCTCCCTTCAGTGTGCAGCCCCATGACCTACAGCGTAGCCACTCCACAGGATCCACCCCGGAGACCTCCCATAGCACCATGCTGGTGGCCTGGCTCCTAAGTGGGCCCAAACCACATGAGGTGCTCCGGGATGAGGACCTGCCCTGCGTGAGGGAGCCTGGGTCACACCACCTGCGCAGGTGATTCCCCCCACAGCACATGGGTCTCTGTTGCATACAAGGTTGGTTTCCTTCAGCCCTTCATTCTGCCTCTTGCTTGTATGAAGGCTAGTGCTGGGGTGGAGGACACCCCAAGATGCCCTGGTTGGCCTGGCATAAGCTGGGGCCTGTCTGGAGACCGACCAGAGAGACCAAGGCCCAGGTGCACAACTTGTGCTCCACTGACACCACAGTAGCTCTCTCCACATACCCATTGGGTCTCCACTCTCTTTGTACATCCTTCTTCCTGCTCACTCCAGACCGACATCCCTGATGCCAAAGAGCCCATCCGGCAGCTCTCATAGCCTACGCATGGCGCACACACAGCAACAAGTTTTTATTTAGCTCTGAAACACTCACAGCAGTGAAATCACACACCATCTACCTCCTCTCCCCAGGCAGACATCCATTTCTCTGGAAAACACACAAAATGTGATGTGAGCTTTAAAGCTAAATTACAGCTCCACATAGTGATGCTGCATCTGCCAAGTGATTTCCAGCCAGCTTTTCTGCTGGCTCTCTTGGTTGCTCCTCCTGGGGCAGTGTGCTCCGGTTTACTGCAGCATATGGCAGCTTGGCCTTCCTTTGGCTTTTGCTGTCCTGTGCTGACATTCATGAAATTGTCTGGCAACACCTTTTTTATCCCAAATCTCCTGTTTCTTTGGTAAGCCAGCTACAGGGGAATGACAACTACTGATACTTTCAGCCCTCAAGAAAACAGACTGTGCAGATAAAAACTTACCACAAGCATCTGCATGGGGATTAAAGATCATTTTCACTTTCCTGCATAAGGGACCTTGGACCTGTGAGTAGGAAATACCCACAGCAGTAATGAGGAGTATGTACACATCAGTTCCTTTCTAGAGCAAAGGAACAAGAGAAGATGGTTTCTGAAGGGAGGACAACCACCTAACCATCATCTTGTCCTGCTAGCGGGGGACACGTCTAGGCAGACAGTCTCACCCAGAAGGGTCAGCTATGTGCCGTCACATGCAGGCCACCACAAGAACCTGCAAACAGCAACATCCTCCAGTGTTTGGAGTTTCTTCCCACATTTGGCCTGTCCAGCAATCAGCATGGTGCTTTGGACAGCTAGTAGACAGGCCAAGTCCTGGTCAATGGTGGCCTGGAGAGTTTTGCCTACAGATGGGGGCTGAGTCAGGGCAGGGTGGAAACAGTGCAACAGCATTTCACCGACCGCAGGAGGCACAGTGGGCTTCACTCACCTTCCCAGACCAGCATATTATGGCTGTAAACATCTCCCTGTGGGCAATGCAGCATCCACCCAAGCTCCTGCACCACGTCCTTGTCCATCATTTTCTCATGCCTACCTGTCTGGCAAAAGACAGTCTGTGATGGCTAAGAGGGCAACACCCGCTTACAGGGACTCACACTTTCTCCAGCACAACAAAAAAAGGTGATCTTCAGCACTGATCTAAATAGATAATATCTCCTCCTGAATCTCAGTCCTCTCAAGTCTTCTGCCACCACCCATCACTATTCTCACATATCTTTGTAAAATGGGGAAGGGGATAGGTCAAACTGAGTAATCAGACCAAATAACCTCTGTCATGTGTGAACTGTTGACAGTGACTTCAATGATGAGAGCATTGTTCCTCTGCAGCACTTGTATGCTTGGGAAATAAAGAAATGCAGCTGTAAAAAATGCTGCCCGGGAGAGGAGCCGTGCTGCTGTCACTGTGCAGGCAGGAGACCAAGAAAAAATGTCTACCAGACTTGCAATGCCCAGGAAGCAGTTCCGTCTGAATGCAGTAGCAACCAACTTTGAAGGTAAAAAGGCAGGACCACCATGGTCTGCCCCTAAAATACCCCCGTCTGCAGCAGAGCTGGCACCCAACCCTCCACATGCAAAACAAATGGCAATTCAGACATGGGACACTAACTCAGCAGGCACATGCCTGTGGTGGCACAAAAGAGCCATTCTGTGGTCTTATTAATCCATCAGCAACTGCTAGTGATAAAATCCTTAACCCACAACTTGAAGTGACTCAGCACTACCCTACCAGGTGATCTCACCAGGCACAGATTTCCCACACCAGTTCGTCAACAGCCTTCTTCAAAGGAAACCCCTTACCCAGCAGCTTACAGAAACTTTTTACAAGAGGCTAAAAGCTACTGACTGTCAGGATGTCACCAAAAGAGGTGCAATTCCTGCCATGAATGTGTTCTGCCCTGAAACAAAAACGTTTCAGCAAACAAGCGACTAAAAACTAGTTTTCTAAATAAAACTCAGGGGAGTGAGAGATGATAAAAGGCAATGGGGCTGTATAAGTAATTCACAGTTTAGAGAGGAGTATATATATGTATATACATGCATATATATATATATATATATATGCATACACACATGCATATACACCTTCACTGTAGTTCTCTGTGCATGGGGTGAAGTGCTAAGTACTAAAGAGCTGCAGTTCTGGGAAACGTGGAGCCACCCCCATCTGTGGTGCAGGACTGTGGTGGGTTAAACTTCACTGAAATGTATCCACTGCTGCATGGAAAACTCCATTATTTTTAGCAAAATGTCCACTTGAGAAATGGCCCTGGACTTATTAGACACATGGCATGATTTGCAAAACTGGTTACACAGGATTTAGAGTGGTTCTATTCTAGCCATCGGATCAAGAAAGTTAAAAAACAAGTTCCAATTTTTGGGAGAAAGATCTCCTACACCTTAGGTAGTAATCTACACATGGGATACAGAACATACTTGAGTCACACTGAAGCAACGGAACAAAACTTCCCTTAATACAAACCAAAATTGAATGCACAAAAAGAACAAAGATGAAAAAAGCTGCAAATAGTTTATTTGCTGCATAACAAAACTTATTGTAAATTACATATAAAGAAACTTGCTATGCTGTAGTGTATAATTTTCAATATTCCACAAATTGTAATAAATATACAAACCAAAACAAAGTAGAAGACTAAATCCATCAGGCAACCTACAAAATGGTTCATCAAGTTTCATACTTTGCAGCATTAGCATGCTTAAAATTTTGTTGTTTAAGTGCTGCAGCAAATTTTTTTTCACATTTCTTTGGAGCATTTTCAAAACCATCTAACTATAAAATACTGTTCATAATTAGCAGGCATTAGTTAAACCACCCAAGAAAAGTAATACCAAAGACATATTTCTTGTTTGTGTTTTTAAAATCCATTTCAGTTTTTCCAGGTTTAGGAATTATCTAAGTGCACTATGAGTCCAGTCAGCCTGAGGCATCACTGACTCTTGTCATATAATGACTCTATACAAACTTCATAGATTATATAGCCCTGGAGATTTCTCTAATAGAGACATATTTGCTAACGGGAATGAAACAAATAACATAGTGACGCTACAAGCCAGTTAGAATGGCTGTACCCTCAAGTGCAGCATGTACTTAGAAATATTCTTCCACAGTTTTATACTATACCACATCAGGCATTTCTTTTTTGACCTCTAAATTTAAAAATGCTGGCAAAGGCTCTATCAATGCCCATGGCCTCTAGAAGGAACATGTAGAAATTGTGGACACCTTTTGCTGTTCTCTACCAATCATTTCTATATGCGTTGAAACAGGGGGCTGAACTGTATTTTACACTTCACTGGCCTGGGCCATGTTGACAGACAGGTCTATTATTTGGTACAGAATTTTTCAAGCTGAAAGCACTTCACTATGCTTCACTATTACCAAATACTTGGGAGTATAAAAAGAAACTCTCTAAAAGACAGTTACCTAAAAATATTTGTTAATAAGCTTAATGCAAATATTATGTAGAAAAACATGGTTTAGTTACAAAAAAAATCATTAGAGGGCCAATAAAAATACACTGAAGAGAAGATCTTTACAAAAGTGAGGTTAGGAAGTTCGAAGCATTGACGTTCACTGTAAACATCCCGTGTTCACTAGAATCCCTTGTCTGAAGTATATGTTCTGGTTTTGTTCCTGAGCTTCATGGCCAACACTTGCATAGATAGCTAAACCTATCATAAAGGGTGGTTTGTACAGACTTTTCTGTACTGCTTTGTACAGAACTTCAATAAACTAATGATTTTACCTTTTGAAATAGTTTAGTTCTACTACAGGAAGTTCAGGGAAACTATGAAGCATGGTGTGATTTCTGCATACTCGGTGCATTGGATGGATTGGGACGGCTACCTTATTAATCTTAAGTAATATGAAGTGTAGCTGCTTTGGTGTTCTGGCTCACCATAAATATCTACTGCTTGTTGCTGCAAGGCTGCCCAAACTCTGCTCTGCCAAAGACTGAATATAGCCAAATGTCAGGAATCTGAGTCCCATAACACCTAGCAATTAAACTCCCCAGTAATAAGATGCAGCTTATAAACAGTACAGGAGACCTCATGGAGAATTTCACCTTTACCCAGATGATATGAGTGCCTGCATCCAGATTAGCCTTCCTCTCTTGGAGGAAGCTACAAAATACTTTCAGGATCAACATGACATGGAGTGGCCTAAGCAACAAGTTTGAAGAACATATTTGTATTTTGGATATGAAAAGTGGGCGTGTGTTTGTTATTGCACATGCAATACACATGAAAAGTGGTACAGATGGATAAATCCACCTCGCAAACAGCACAACAAAAAGAAAAAGCAGCAAATTGCCATTATAAATCTTATGTTAAGGCAAATCTAGATAAACACCCATATCAGGATTAATAAAAATGGGGAGTTGTGCTTGTTTTTTGTTTACTTTTTCTGTGATTGGCTTTTGCACATTGATAAAATTTGTTTAAGCACTTTCTGGACATCTTCATCCATTTGACCCTAGACAAGGGGAGAAAGAAAAAAAGAATTAAATTCAAACACCTCTCTACTCCTTAAGAAGATTTACTATTTTTAAGGTATATTAGTATATCAGTTTCCCAAGGAAAGTTGCTTTAAATTTGTGCTTAAATAGTCAGACGTTATTAATATCTGCAGAAGAAACATATTTCACTAAATACCAATACTGCCTACCTGATAACATACAGTCATACCTGCACAGCATAGAGAAGATGCATCCGGTAAACTGAGACAATTTCCTGATGTTGTTTCTTTGTTTCCTAGAAAACAGTTAGAATCATAGAATCATAGAATGCTTAAGGTTGGAAGGGACCTCTAGAGAGCATCTAAGTCTGACCTCCCCCTGCTCCAGCAGGGACACCCAGAGCACGGGGCACAGGGTGGCATCGAGGCGTTGTGAAAAACCCCCAGAGAAGGAGCCTCCACAACCTCTCTAGCCAGCCTGTTCCAGTGCTCTGTCACCCTCACTGTTAAGAAATTTTTCCTTAAGTTCCTGTGGAACTTCTGATGCTTCAGTTTGTGGCCGTTTCCTCTAGTTCTGTTGGTGGCCACCAGTGAAAAGAGGCCAGCACCATCCTCCTCACTGCCTCCCTTGAGGTACTTATAGACACTGCTCAGGTCCCCTCTCAGCCTTCTCTTCTCCAGGCTGAACAGGCCCAGCTCCCTTGGTCTCTCCTCACAGGGCAGATGTTCCAGGCCCCTGATCATCCTTGTAGCTCTGTGCTGGACTCTCTCCAGCAGCTCCACATCCCTCTTGTACTGTGGGGCCCAGAACTGGACACAATACTCCAGATGTGGCCTCACTAGGGCTGAGTAGAGGGGCAGGATCACCTCCCT